CCCCCCCCCCCCTACTCCCCGCCAGTATGGCCCCAGCAGCAGCAACAGCAGCTCACACGCACGCAGCTGTCTCTTTTTACCCCGCATCGCATGATCCCGAGTGAGTGTGGGTCATTGCCTCCTCCTCTCTCTCTACCAATGTGTGTATCGCAGCTGGCCCGCCCCGCCCCGCCAGCCCGTCGGCTGGCAGCTCCCCGCGTCCCTTGTTCCCATTGAGGGACCGACCGGGCCATCTTTTAATCAACCACCATATCATCACTCCAAAGTGATTCCCATGCGGCCGAGCAGCAGCAGCGGCGGACCGGCTCGACTTCAACTTGAACCTCGCGCGCCATCGATACCCCGCGATCTCCACCTCTAACATCGGCGGTCACCCCTGCCGAGGCACGACGCAGTAAAGTACCATACACCTCGCCCCGAAACAAGCGACGCGAAATAAAAAGAGGCCGAAACACAAGGGCAACAACACGTTCGCACAGCAGCAGCAGCAGAATCCTGTAATATCAAGAGTGACTTTGTCCTCCGGTCGAGTTGGTTCCTCTCGACAAGCGAGAGAGAAGAGCGGAGGGTCGTTACGCTCTCTTTCCACTCTCCTCCTGGCTGCTCTCAAGGTAGACTACTCACCTCTCCCGATCCCAACCCTCACCGCGCGCCGCCGCGCCTGGCCCTCCTCACCCGAGACCGTCCCCTCCCCCTCCCCTCATGCACCCCTCTCCCCTGACATTTCCCCCTTTCTCCATTATTTCGCCCATCCAGCCCGGCCAGGCCGCCCCGTCCCGCCCCGCCCGAGGGCCGAATGCCCTTTAGCGCTGCTGCTGCGAGGTTGCCATGCTTCCTTTCATTGCTCTCAATACGCCCAACAACCACTTCTCCCCCGCCCCGCCCCGCCCCGCCACGCCCCGCCACGCCTCTCCCGCTTCCCCATTTCCTGCTGCACGCCGCGCCTGGAGCGACACGCGTGGTGCTCGTTTAGAGCGCGGCGAGGGCGGGGCGGGGGGCGTATTCGCACTATTTGCGCCACTCACGGCCACAACCGTACAGAACGACGCCTGCGAGCGCTTTTGCCGGCCTGAATGCGCGCTCACACATACACACACACACATACACGCACCCAAGCCGCACACTCACTGTGTGCTCAGCGAGCTCTACCTACAGATTTCATCTCTCTCTTCCCTCCAGTTTACTTATTCGTCAGTTGTGCGGGGGAACGCCCTATACACCCTCCGCATACCCCCCCCCCCTCCGTCCCCTTGCCGTTCCCATCCGGGGGACCCGACTGTAAGGCCCCTACTCTCCTCTGCCTTATTTACATCTAGCACCAGTCGAGCACACACACACACACACACACACACACACACACACACACACACACGCAGTCAAACTCGCACACACACAGAGGCGACAATGAGGAAGAAAAGGGGAGCGTCGCTCAATTCATCACCACTTTGTTGCTCTAGGGGGGCGTCCGCAAAGCAAGCAACGAGTCCGTAGTATCACGGCTCCCGCGCACTTTTCGGTTTCATTATGAACAGCTCCCTCTCTTTTCCTTTTCCACTCTCAACAAACTAACTCGCTCACACTCACCACCATAACCGTCAGTCACTCAAACTCTCTCTCCTCTCCGACTCTCCTCCCTCCCGCCATGTTCGCATAGTCCCACGGTCGATGCGGTGCATATCTATTACCAGTCGAGTATTTCCTCATACCGTATGCGCCGGCTGCTGGACGGGCGCGCGACGGTCTGACGTGGCGTGGGAGGGAAACGCGATACCCAAAAGGATCCGTGCGGCGGCCGGAGCGTTATACCCGCCCGAGACGTGACGGGTATATAACGTGAAGGGGGGGTGCGTGAGTCAGCGGCAGCACATCTAGGCTCCACCACCCCGGCCCGGCACGGCGAAACTCTAGGACCACCATCACTACCGTCACTACCCTGGCGCTTCTTACAAGTCTATGCACTAAAGATTGAAAAATATTTTCATGAATACCCTATTTTTCCACCATTAAACCTCTTTCAAAATATTTAATTCAGAAGACACGCTCAAAACGTTGCCATTTTCTAAGATAATAATTTTTTGCGGTTGGTGAATTAATTACTGACACGTTTTTCATATATACTTTAGCGTTTACATCTTTCTAGTCCTAGTCCGACAACGGTCAGCCAGCAGCAGCAGCAGCAGCAGCAGCAGGGCGAAACGCTTGGACCGCCCGACTACCACCGCGCACTGTACTGTGCAAGCACCCCCCCCCCCACCCCGCCGCCGGACACCCGCAGGCCAAGTCTTCCACTATTCACACAGGGGCCCCCGGCGGCGGCGGGGGCGGCAACCCGCAACGCACCCAGGCACGAAGGGTTGCCTACCCCGGTGGCCGACGGGCGGTCGCCGCAGTGAGGAGGACCCACGGAGGGGGGGGGGGGGGGATTGAAGTTCGGTGCTCCCTGAGCCGCAGCGCGTTGTCCCGCGGGTCCAGGACCCTGCCCAGGACTCTCCAGGACGACACGGGGAAGGGAAGGGGGCATTGTGGGCCGGTGCTCTCCCCAGAGCAGCGCCTTGTAGGACATCCTCCCAGACGGGGCGAGGACGACACCTTCATCCTCTTTATCCCAGGTCCGTCTCTCCTTTCAAGCGCCCCTCTCTCTCCCTCTTCGTGCCCTCTCTTCCCCTCCCTACTACTATTCATGACGAGGACAAAGTAAAAAGCAAAACAATGCTCGGATCGGCCCCGGGGGAGAGAAGCTGTTGAGGGGAGAGGGGGGGAGGGAAGGGGGCAGCTGGGCTGCGGACAGAGGACGGGATCAAGCCAGCCCCCCCCCCAACCCTCCCCTATCGCCGTACACCGTACACCGCCGACAACTCGAAGGGTGGCGTAACCAGCACAGAAAGATAGAGAAGGATGGGGAAGGGCGGGTGGCAAAGCAAAGCAACAGTATGAGAAATTTTGCGTGCAGAGCTAAATTTCTTGCACTTACATCCAGTACAAAACGGGACGAAGACTAACCGGCAAAGGAGACCAGCACATTCTCTCTCTCTCTCTCTCTCTCTCTCTCTCACACACACACACACACACACAGAGGGCTGCTAGGTCGAGTCGAAGGTCAGGTCAGTCCTAACGAGACAACAGAGTGATTCGCGTCGCCACGTCCCCCCCTCCCGGGGCTGGGGGGGCCCGGGCCCATTGTGCACGGGCACGGGCGCGGTGGGATGGGGGCGGCGGCACCCCGGGAGGTACAGTCCGCTCCCGCACGCCGTGTACAGCCCGGCCCGGT